TTATCCCTGACACATCTCCACCGGCTTTGCTGGATTTAGACCCCAGATAAGTTTGGTGCAGGACCTAAATTCTGGTGGCACAAAAGGTCATGGAAGAGGCACTAATGAGGAGAAGCCATGTGTGAGCACAAGCCTGTTAGAGCAAAGGCTCTCGCACAGATTACCTCCCAAATCACACACTGTGAGCTGTGTTCTCCATCAGCACAACCTGAAACAACTCCCCCAACAGCCCACAGCACCATTTCCCCCAGTTAGCCACTGGTGTAGAGCTGAGCCTTGCATTGGGTGCTGCCCAGCCTGCTGGGGAAGGCAGCAGGCTCAGCTGGCACATGGAAAGCACTGAAGAAGTTGGCAGATCATAAAGTCAGGATACACCAACCAGAAGCTGGCAGATCATAAAGTCAGGATACCAGGGCCTGAGCAGAGCTCCAGGTGAAGAAAGGGGCTGCCAGACAGCTGGGAATGGAGCACAGAGCTCCTGCCCACCACCAGACTCACCACCCTTTGTACTAGGGAAGGAAGCCCGGAGAGAACCCTCTGCTTTCCCTCCATGTGTCACAGCCCACCAGAGGGATCCAGTGGCTCTGGATGACGAGCAGGAGGGTCTGGAGGAGGTTTACATTAGCAAAGAGCCATCCAGGTGCCAACAACAATTCATCACAAGCACTCAAAACAAAGCAGGCAGGCGCTGCTGCTGCTACCATACCAGGCACCAGTGAGGGGGATGAAACAGCAGAGAGGCTCTTCCCTGGCAAGGCCAACCTGTGGAGAGGCCAAACCATGCCCAGACATCATGCTTCCACAGTATGCTGGGCATCCTCTGCCACAAGGTCCCAAGATTGATTTTTGGGGTGGACTGTGATGCAAGCGGAGTAACCTCCCATCAGCTTGCACAGCAGGAGAATAGGGAAGCCAAGACCCTCTGCTCTCCCATTAGCGATGTACTCTGGGACCCCGCACTTCTGGCATCACATGTCATTTGACAACACTCCTCCTGCAACAGCACCCTCCTTCAGAGCTGGCAAAGGCACCCAGGCTGGCAGGCAGGGCGAGCTGCAACCACAGGGGAAGGTGGAGGAAGGCTGTCCCTGTCACCAGCCCTGTCCCCTCCCAGGCTGCAGGGCACTGACTCTGCTCTCTGAGCACCATGAGCTGTGTTTCCACAAGTCTCACACTCCTCATAACTGTGTTTCCACTGCGGAAACGCCACCCCATCCTTTTACATCGGGAAGGGGAACTCTTGACCCTTGGGTCTTTCTGGTGCTGACCCACAGCTGCAGACACAGCAGTGCCTGAACTACCCTGGGATTTCAGCGTGGTCCCAGCCTGCAGAGCAAGATTGAGGCCCCTGGCCTCCCTGTTATCGTTTTTGGCTGGTGCTTCTGTAGCACCTCCAAGGACAGGTCAAGGGCCAGGACCCCCGTACTACATCATGTCACCACCTGCTCCTCCTCTGCAGCCTCAGGCCCCTGCTCAGCGGCAGCAAACAGCAAGCCCCCTGAAAGTTTTCCTCCGCTCCCTCCAGGGACCTGCCAGCCCTAGCAGAAAGCCAGGACCTTCTCTACAAAGTTGGCCCAAAGCCCCTGGCAGGTTTATACATATCCCAGATCAAAGCCTAACAGCTACGTGAGCCCAATGCCACAAGCTGCAAGCAGGAATCACACACATGTGGGAACGCAGCCACTTCCCAACAGGGTGGGGATCAGGCCCTCCATGGCTTTATGAGACCACTGGTATCTTCCCCAGATAAGGAAACCCTCTAAATCTGATCAGCTCTATCTCAAAATGTCACCTCCCTTTCTACGACCACAATTTCCCCTAACAAGTGCTTACACCCTATAGACTTCCTTGCAGGCTGATGGCTTTTTACCCATCTGACCAGCAAAGGGAAACTGGCACCAGTTTGTGCCCCAACTGGCTCTGCCGCAAGACTGGTAAGGGGTAGAGGCACCCTGGGAGCAGGGTCCCACATCGAGCCGGTGAGACGCACCCGCTTGGTTGGGATGGGATGCGCGATCCCCAGCCTGGAACTGGGATGGGAAACCCTTCTCTCCTCCGCGCCGTGCTCCCGGGAAAGGGGATGCTCGTCCCTTCCCTTCTCGTCCCGTCCCGTCCCGCCACGTCCCGTCCCCTCTTACCACTGAGCCGGTCCATGGTCCCGGAGCCGCGGGCAGCAACCGGCCGCCCCGGGAGGCGCGGCGGGCGAGTGTCAGGGCAGCAAGCCGCCCGGCGGGGCCGGGGTCTCGGTTCGGAGCGGCCAAATCCTTCGTCGCCCTCCCTCGGTGCAATCGGCAGCGCCGAGCACCGGCACGGCCCGGCACGGCACCGCGGACACAGCCCGGGGGGGTTCCCCCGCCGGAGCACGGGCGGAAGGGTGTCCAGAGACGGGGCCCCTCCGTGTGCAGCCCTGCAGCGCCCACCTCCCACGACCCCCCTTGCGCGGCTGGGGGTGTCCCGGGTCCCCTCATCCCTACATCCCCACCAGGTGCTGCCGCACACCGGGCGTTGATCATCCCCCGCAGCACCCAGAGACCCCCCTGGGAAGGGCGGGGGTCTAGAGTGGGGCACCTTCACCTGCCCGAGGGGGTTGTTGGGTTGGGCAACTTCGGTTTGGGGAAAAAATACCGAATTCCCACACCCAAACACACATGCTGTGAGCAAACACAGCTACCTCAAAACCCCTTCCATATCTGCTCCTTCCTGGTGCCCCTCATGTGCCCGGCATCTGCCGGGCCGCGGTGCTCATGCCACTGTCACTGTCCCTCTCCCCGCAAGGGAGATCTGGGCTCGGGAGACTTGTGGGGTGTGTGAGAGAGTGCCTCACGTGTGGCAGCAAGGACAGTGTCTCCTGGCACCCCTCTGGGGACAGCAGGTTGTGACAGAAATATGTAAATCACACATACCCTGTTATCACTTGGGAAAGCAATAATTGAAATATTAGATGGGCATTAGCAACTGGCCTCAAGAAATTCCCCATTTGGGGCACACTCAGCCCAGGACTGCTGTGAGGCAGCAGCCTCTCTCACCTCTCCATGGCTGGCTGGGAGCCAGCTCCTGCCCAGACACTGCTCCCTGCCTGGATGGTGTTTGTTGGTCCCTCCTGTCTGGATCAAGCCTCTCATAACATGGGGTCATCTGTGGTCAGAGGTGCTCATAAGCCAGGGCTGCCAACACCAGCAGGCTCGGGCTGCTTTGTGGCTGGGAATTGCAGAGCAGCCAAATGAGAGGATGGGCTCAGGCAGGAATTGCTTCCAGGGCAGGTGCTGACACCTGGGTACCTTCTGCACAGCCCATGAGTGACCCATGAGGTTTGCTGCCCCAGAATGGTATGAGCCAGAGAGGCTGCCTTGGCTCTGGGAGGGAGCACTGTGTCCTGCCTCAGTTTTCCCACCTTTGCCATGCAGGAGAACAGTTAGTTACTGTCCATAAAATTATTTGAAAATGAAAAGACTCCTGCTGTTCTGTTATTATTGTTATTAATAATATCCTCCAGGCTTTATCACTGAAACTGCTGCTGGAGATGGAAGTTTCCTGTAGCCACAAACAGTTAAGCTTGATTTAGGGAGCCCTAGTTTATATAAGTAAAACAATTATAAATAAAATTGGTTCAGTTAGTGCTGCTCTAAAGCAGACAGGAGTGGTTACCAGGGAAATGGTGCCATCTCCACCTCAGTCCCCAGCCCCTCCCATGTTGGTGTAAAGCTCCCAGAGCTGGGGTTGCTCCTAAGGGAGATCTCCTGTCTTGAGCCCCCTGCACCCTGGCAAACCCCTGCAAGGGGCCCCACATCTCTCTGCTGCCTCACACAGGAACCTTGTGATGGCTTTTTGGGCAACAGGCTGGGCAACATTTGATGGCAAGGAGAGCATTCAATCCACTCGATGGGAGACACCAGGACAGGAGGGGGGACCAGAACAGGCAGAAGCAGAGCTGGCCCTTGGCACAGTGAAGGCAAAACCCTTGCTGTACCCTCGGAGGACCCTGCTGACCTGGCTCCTGCAGAGATATCCTACAGCTTCCTGGCCTGTTTGTAATGGTTCAGTCCTGTCACATGCCTGAAAATTGTGATGGACAAGCAAATAGGAAACCAGAGCACCACAGACACCAGGAAAAATGTTTGTGTGGAAACAACCTTATTAGTTTTATGAAAAAAATAAGCCCAACCTCCCCCCCAACCCAATAGTTTGCAGTGGAGGGAATGCTGAATGGCCCTGGGAATGTCCGTCATTCCCAGAGGCTTGCAGAGGGATTCATCAGGGACTCAGGCATCCATGATGGGGTAATTCAGGTAAACCCAGGAGAGGTCCAGCAGTTAGTGGGACTGGCATCCCCACCTCCCTGTCTCTGATCTTTCCCCCAGCTCCCAGCTGGAATACCCCCACCACTCCCCCATGAGTGCTGAGGCCTCAGAGCCACGGAGCTGGGGCCCAGGACTGGGTACCCCAGGGTGTCCTCTCTCGACTCTGGATAAACCTCAAGAACAGCAAGAAACTGCAGAAGGCAGGAGGTGGCTTTGGCTATTTCATTTAAGAAGAGCTTGTTTTTGGGATGGCTGGAAAGCTGCCGTTCCGGCACCTTGGGAGGATAAACTGGTCATATGGGGTTTGCAGGGAAAGCCAACAGCCCTGGAGGCATCGGAGCTCAGGCTCTCACCTTGGACATGGGGGTGCACCCAGCTCCCCATGGGGTCCTCAACACTTCTCTGTCCCATGCCCCAAGCTCTGCATTTCTGATCCTGAAGGTGCCCCCAGTCATGGCATGTAAAGGCAGGGAGGGCTTTAAGGAGCTCCTACTGAGATCCCACTTTCCTGCAACTGTGCCTGGGGCCTTTTCCAACCCATAAGTAAATACACAGAGCAGCTGAGCACAGGGGGATGGGACACCCCTATCCCAAACCCATCCCAGAGCCCTGCTCTCCCCCAGCCCTGGGTGCTGTGGCTGCAGCAAGAAAATCCTCCCCCCCTCCACCATGTGCCTGTGGGGCAGCAGTGACAGACGCCAAGTGCTTCAGGAACCATGTGGCTTTAGGTCCCGGGAGAACCCACAGACTGATACAGAAACAAGGTTGGAAAAGTAAAGGAAACACAGAGCATAAAATGATCTGCAAGACTCCAATTCACTCTCAGGGGCGCAGAGGGCACCTCTGCCCCATACAGCACCGAGAATCATGTAGAGCTGCAATATAGAGATCTCTCTATGTATATATTTATAGGTATGTATATATTTATAGTGCACTGCATTTAAAACAGCCGGGCCTGCTTCTTCAGCTCATTCCTCTTCCACAGGGCCAGGCGGTCGAACTCAGCAATGGTCATGCCGAAGATCTGGTAGAATTCCTCCTGGGAAAGGTGCCGCTGGGGAGAGACAGGATGCTGGGCCAGAGCTGGGGACTCTGGCCACCACCCAGGGCCAACAGCAACCACCCAGGCTGGAGGGGCTCTGAGGGCATCTCCTGCCCGCTTGGGGCAATGGGGTGCCACAACTCTCAGCACTTCTCACTCTGGAGAGGGGGAGAACCTGCCTCCCTCCTGCCCCTGCCAAACACAATCGTGCTGTGGGCATGAGGAACAGCTCTGCTCGGCCAGTGGAGCAGCAGGACCACCGTGACAGTGCTCCTGGGGAGACATAGAGATGCTTCTACACATCCATGAGCCCCTCACAGCCACACGCTGGCTGCTGGGGCTAAAGGGACACCCCACGGGATCAGGTCCCTCCGTGCCCTGAGGAGAATGTCCCCAGTGGAAAAGGCTCTTCTCACCTCTAACCGAGTCCTGTCCACATCTTTGGGCAGCTGGTTCCTCCCCCTTGTCTTCACCAGGAGCAGCTCATAGGGGTATATCTGCACAGTGACAGGAAGACCATGAGGCAGCTCCAGAGACAGAGGAAGACAACTGAGACACACTTGGGAATGAGGCCATGGGGACCACCAGGGCAAAACCTCCTCCTGCCATGTCTAGCAGTGTTTGGGTGGCACAACTGACTCCAGCGACTGGATGGGACAATGCATAGGAGGGACTTGCTCTCAGGGTGATCCTGATCCACCTTAAATCCCCTTGGTGGCTCTGGAATAGCCTGCTCACTCTGCGAAACCAGGAGTGACCCAGGTACAAGTGTGAGTAGGAAATCACGGCAAAACCACCTTTCTCTGTTCCTCACCCAGGAGACAATTCTGCTCATCCGAGTGCTTGGAACCCTGGCAGGAGGGGATGGACTCTGGTCCGAGCCCCACAGTCCTGGGATGGGGCTGTCATGTAGGGGATGGAGGGGGACAAAGGCAGGGCATTGCAGGAAGAGGGCAAAACTTCCCCCTGAAGAGCCTGGGGACACACAGACACATCTCTGGGACTCCCACCTCTGGCTGACAGCCAAGCCTTGCAGCAGAAGCATCTTACCTTGTACTCTGTGGGGAGAGAGAAAAGAGAGACATGAGCCATGATGACCCCTCCGCTGCCAGGATCTCGCACCATCCTCCCTCCAGCCTCATTTTCCAGAACTGCCTGCAGGTGGCAGCCCCACAGGATTTGGCTCTGGAATGCCTACAGGGTCCCTGGCCCCGTGGCCCCTTACCTCGCATCCCCCAGTTGACGGCATTCGTGCTGTCGTAGTGGAAAAGCTCAGCGCTGGGAGGCTGTGGGAGGAACAGAGGGAAGAGGAGTAAGAGGGGCTCTCCTCCAGACACTCAGCATGGCATCTCCCATGTTCCCAGGAGAGAAGGCACCCCACCATGCCAAAGCAGGACCCGCTCCCCACACCTGGCAGGGGGGAAACTGAGGCAGAAGGAGGTGAAGTGACAAGCCCAAGTCATACAGAGGCAGGACCAGAGCTCCTGGTCCCAAGCAGTCACTAGCCCAGGATACAAAGCAAAGCTCTTGTGCTGGAAAGCAATACCAGTATCTCTCTGAAACATGCCTGTGGAAGGTTCAGGGCAGGCACTGCCTGAACAAGGCACTTTGGACCCCAATAAAGGTCATTTTGGATTGGCACAGGGCAGCAATGACAGCAGGGATGCAGAGAAGGGAGAAGCAGGACACCCTAGTCTTGGAAGGGCAGCACTGGGGGCTTTAAGAAGCCTGGGAAGAATGACAAACAGCACAGAGAGGCCTGGTGGCAGCTGGATGTGAGCAGGAGGCACTTACCCTGTGCAGCCCATTCCTCCTGTAGGCAGGAAGGGAGGCCGACTTAGAAATGAGGGGATCTGCAAAGAAGCCAGCAAGATGTGTAAGAGAAAATGCAGGGATGAGCCTCACATCCCAGGACAGCACCCACTGGGCCACCCTACCTCTGTGCTCCCACAGAGCTGTCACTACCCAGCTCCACAGTCACCCAGCTCTGTCTCCTTCCAGCTCCAGCTCATTTCCAGCCTGGCTTCCTCCTGTGCTGATATTCCTCTCCTGAAAATCCCTTTCCCATGGCAGCCTTCCCTCTTCACTCCTCAGCACAACACATTCTCCTCTCTCAGTTTCTCTGACTTATCCTCTCCCAGTGCTGCCATCAGCTCTGCCCTGGTTCAGCTCTACCCTTGCACAGGCTTTCAAGGGCTCCTTTTTTGCTTCCCTTCTTCCCTCCCTGGTCCCAGCACCTCCTCCAGCTTGGGTTCCGGACCCCCGAGCCATGGGGGACCAGCCGTGGAGGGCTGTAGGGTCACACACTCACCGCTGTCAGCCAGGTAGTGGGTTCTGGGAGCTGCAAGGAGAGCAGAGCCAGTTGTCAGGGAGGACCAAGTACCCCATGCCATGCAGTGCTGCCTGTTCCCAACCCCACGGGTCCTCCTTGGGGCTCCCTGGAGTCCTGCAGGGCTGAGGGGCTCCATGAGCACCTCCAAACAGTCTCAGCTCCATGAGGGCAGACGTGCCATGAAGATGGAGACCATGAAGCAGGCAGGGCCATCTGTGCTGCCAGGCTCTCAAGCAACCCCAGCCCCATCGTAGCCCCAAGGACAGAGGAGATGGGTGCCCTGGGTGCTGTGTGGTAGCAGCAGTGCAAGCAAGGCAGCCCTGAGGCTGCTCAGCAGGTCTGGGGTGCCAGGAGGTCCCAGAGGTGCCATGAGTGAAGCACACGTGCAGCCAGCCCAAACAGGTCAGAGCAACCCCAGCGTGGTTGCGATGCCAGATTCTCAAGGGACCCTTCAACCACCCCACGAGGCACTTCACCAGGTTGCCTGGACACCCACTGGGTGATGCCCCTTCCCAGCTGGGACACAGGGAAAGAATGGAGCTCTCCAGAAACGAAAAGAGCTTTCCTAGGCCAACTCTGTGCCCAGCACCTCTCCTCTCCCCTCCCCTTCCTAGTCTCATTCTTCCCTCTCCACCCCAGCAAACTTCCCAGAGGGGCTGGCCCATACTGGGCGGGACAGACAGACAGACAGGATCATCCTTACAGCCATTGAGGGAGCCCTCATAGCCAGTCGTGTGCAGGGCTTCTCTGCTGCTGGCCGAGCTGCGAGGGGGTGTCCAGGGGTCTGCGTAGGAGTTGGACCGAGCCTTCATCTCCTCCCTCAGGATCAGCCTGCCAATGCCACTCTGGATCTGGACAGAGGAGGGAAAGCCACCTCGCACCCCTCCTTTCCCTGCCCAGCCCTCCCTGCCCCCTGGCACATCATGACAGGGCATGGCATCTCCTGGCATGGGCTCAGCACCTCCCATCTGCTTCCCCCTCCTTCAGACCCTGTGCTGGGGGTGGCCAAGGTGGGGAGAGATGGCACAGGACAGCAGGGACAGTGGTGGCCCCTTCTTGGGTGGGAGAACTAGGCTGAGCCTCCTCCCCAAAGCCAACCAGGGGCAGTTTGCTGTCAGCTCTCTGTCACTGGGCTGTGGGCAGGGACACCACTCACCTTGTGCATGCCCCGGTCGTACCCATCCTCCTCACCACCTGACGAGAACCTCCGGGCCCGGGGTGCTGCAAGGAGACACGTGAGGGAGTCAGATGGGGCCAAAAGTGAAGGCAGGTAGGGAGGAGACATTCCCAACCACATGGGGACAGTTGAGTCCCAGAGGCTCCCAGGATTTTAGGGTCACTTTGGCAGGTACCTCAGCCCAACACCACCTTCGGGTCCAGACACAACTCAGAGCAAGGTTCCCTCCTAGGAAGTGGCTGGGTTTGGGGGCAGGAATGGGTTTCCCTTTCTCACAGTCCAGCAGGCATTTATTACCTTTGGGCGAGCCTTGGAAGGGCCAGTACTCTGACTCGGAGTGGTAGTACGGATCCGGGGAGTAGGCAGGGCTGTACTTGGATGACTGCGCGATGTCTTCACTGGTTTTGCTTTTTGTGGCTGCAGAGGGGTTGTCTGCAAAAGGAGCAGGTAGAGCTACAGTGAGGGCCTGCAAAAATCCACTCAGGGATGAAGGCAAATCCTCTCCCACCACCAGTGACTGCCAGCAACTCAAGGCTGGGACAGCCTGTAGCAGAGCTGGGAATAATCAAACTGCTGACATCTCCTCGAGACAAGGGTGCTGAGGCAGATGGTGGGGACAGTGACAAGCAGAGGGGCTGTCGCTGATGTAGTTGGGAAGGGACCCAAATAGCTGAGAGCCCACGGCACCACAAGCACTGGCTCCTGCATAGTGCTCACCCCAATCCCAGTCCCACCAGTGCCACCAACCTCCCTGTGCTCTCCTGTCACCTGTAAGTGAGAGAGGGGATGGAGGAAAGCTCAATCCCAGCAGGTAAAGGGCTCTTTGGGTTACTGCCAAAGGGAAGGTGGCAGTGGGCTGTGCAGGAGGGAGGGAGCAGAGGGGCTCTGGCAGGGGTTTGGCCCCCATGGCAGGGACACACACAGATTGAGCCTCAGCAGCATAGGTGAGAAACCCAGAGGGGAGTTCTGCTGCACCAGAGGCCGGGAGACTCGCAGGGGAAGGAACATCAAGGACAGGAGGTGTAGCAGGGCCATCCCACCACCTCTAGCAGGCACAGGGGACCCAGCCAACAGCAGGTACTTACAGCAGGAGGAGCAGCCAGCAGCAGGGCAGTGGGAGTTGGGCAGGAGGGAAGGGAAAGTCCAGGGAGAGAGAGGAAACACAGTTACTGCTGGGGGGAGCTGGTGTCCCTCTTATGTGCAGAAGCAAGTGAGGACAGTGCAATCCATCCCCACTGAGAGACACCAAACATCCTCCCCACCCTGCAACACCTCCCAGGCCTGTTTCACCCTGGAGCATCTATCCAGGATGGGCTGTGACTTTTCTCCAGGGCTCCATGTGAAACTACAAATTACCTTCTTCATCACTTTTCTGAGGCTGCTCTGGCTCCCGGCCTCAGAAATCAATGGCCACCCTTGAACCTTCTGCCACCCCATCATTGCCTTGCTCGCCCTCCCACAGCTACCCTGGTGTTGCTGACAGCTTTCTCCTCCATCCCTCATAGCAGGGATGTGGTCCAAAGCAGCATCTTTCTCCCACTGAGCCTTGCACTCTGCTGCCCAGAGGGAAGGCAAGAACATCAGACCACCAAAGTCCAGCGCCCAAACATCTTGTCCTGACGCCTGCCCTCACCTCCCACCCTGCCCCTGGACATGACTCAGCTGGACTGAGCCCCATGCTGGTCCTGTCCCCACGGGGACATGGGGATGGACACACAGCAGGCAGATCGTACCATGGCGCTTGTAGATGGGGGGCTTCCGGTAGATGTTACTCTCGCCGGCAGCTGGTGGAAGAAGAGAGAAAGAAAAGGAAGAAAGAAGGGAAGAAGGGGAAAGCAGAGGTCAGTGTGGGCGTGCCGAGAGTGGGCAGGACAGAGGTCCTGCAGGAGACACTACCCCCACAACCACATTTCCATCACACAACCGCCTCCGGGCCCACGTGTCCCAAGGGAGCGCGGCTCCAGGCCGGCGTGCCGGGCAGCAGGAGCGCGGCTCCCGGGCAGCAGGAGCGCGGTCCCGGGCTGCCTGCGGGCAGTGGTGAGCAGAGGCCATGCAGTGAGCACCCAGCGTCAGCATGCACGGGTGCGGCGGGCACAGCCAGAGCCGCCGGCCGCCCCTGCCAGCCGGCAGCGAGGCATCACCGCTCACCCTGCGGCGGTTTCTCGGGGTGCCAGCACCTAGAAGAACCGCCTGTGAGCTACCTGGGGTGAGACAACATCAGCCAAAGCCTCTTTCCGCAGCAGAGAGAGAAAAGAGCGAGTTGGGAGGGAAAGCGAACTGGAGCCTGGCGCCGAGAGCTGCAGCCCCCGCGCAGGGGCCAGGCAGCAGAGCTGGCGGAGCAGGGAGGGGGCCATCCATAAACCACTGACCGGCAGCGGGAGGGCAGGGCAGGGCGGGCAGCGGGGCCAAACCCTGGCAGGGATGGGATGGGAGCTGGGGACATGGTGGGGAGCCTCTGGGTGTCCTCATGGTGCTGTCCCAGGGCATCAGCTACGCACTGTGGAGAGTCCCGTGCTTTGAAGGAGGACAAGGGCAGTGGGAGATGCTTACAGCTGAGTGGGGTTGTCTGGGGTTCTGACCCCCCTGCATGTGCTGAAGGATGATGAGCAGCTCTGCCTGCTTCCCACCCCACTCTCCGTTTCTGCCCGCTCCGTCCCCGTTCCCGTGGACTCTGCGTGGCTGAGAGCGGGTGGTGGCCCTTACCTGGTGGCCCCCTGCAATCCCTGCAGAAGGGGAGCAGGCATCTGGCAAGCCCAGAAGATCTGGGGGGAGGGAGCAGCGGGCCCTAGGGGGAGTATAAAATAGTCATCTGTAGCGGGTGGGTGCGGAAAGGCCTCCGGCAGACACGCTTCGGCTGGTGATCCTGGGGGGAGGCAGGGGAGGGGGCAGGCTCTCACCAGGGGACTCATCTTCGTGTGGGGAGTGGAGGAAGGTCAGGGAAGAGGGAGAAGAGGGATGTTGCAAGGATCAAGCAGACTCCGGGCGGCTCTGGGACCTCCGGGTGGTGATGGGGAGGGAGGAGGGTTCAAGCTGCAGGTCCTGTTTATGGATGGCCTCTAACAGGGGTAGATCCTGCTGCCAGCTGGCTCTAGGCAGGCGGCGGAGCTACGCATGCGACACAGCGGGGACGGCACATGCGGGCATGCCACAGACACGGCGCTTCCCCAGGGACCGGGGTGCTCCAGAGCCTACCTGGGATGTGGAAATGCTTGGGTGCTTGGTATGAGGTTGGAGTGGAGGACCTCACATCTAACTGGCTATAGTAGGGGGAGCTGCGCCCACTCTCGGTGCCTACGCGGTGCCGAGCAGAAGCAGCCATAAGTGACCGAGAGAGAGAACAAGAGGCAGAAGAAAATGGGTGTTAAATGCAGCAGTGTTAGAAGAGCAGGGGCAACCCATGTGGTTGTGGGCAACCCACAGGGATGTGAGCCGGGCCGTGATCCAGGATAGGGAGTGATGGAGCAGGGGGAGGTTTCCCGCATCTCCGGAGGAAGATGGGATGCAGAGGAAACCCCGTGTGCAGGTGCTGGTACAGGACAGCCAGCTGCCCCCACCGCTGGTGACAGGAAAGCCGAGCGTGCTGCAGAGACAAACGGTGACGGACCCTTGGCGGTGAAGCGCTGGGGTTTGTAGGACCTCTGGACTTACTGACCTCAGGTTTTCCTGGTCATTCCTTCCCAGCTCCAAAGGACAGGAGACATGGCACAGACACACTCTGCTTCCCCCCGACATGCTCCGGGGTGTGCGTGCATGCACGTGTGCACGTGTAAGGACCTCCCTTACAGCACTGGCTGGGCACAAGCACACTCGTGCACACCCATTCCAGAGCTACCAAGACAGCTGAGGGGCTCTTTACCAGATCTGGAGGTCACCTGCCTCCCCACCCCATCCTGCATGAGCCCCAGCTCAGGTCTGAGCCACAAAGCCTTCTCAGCCTTTCCTTGCTGCTCACAAGACAAGAGTTGGGGGAACCAGAGGATGCACAGATCAGAGTTGGTCACAGCCTCCCTGGTGGACGCCCCCCCCAGGCCTCCTGCTTGCCAGAGGAGAGACCACAGAAGTCTCAGTGGCATTTTGGTGATCCCCACTCCACCTGGGGGTCTGAGCTTAGCTCAGCCTGGGGTTGCAGCTGAAATCCTCACCTGAGCGGTAGAAATGGTGGGGGGACCTGGGGATGGTGGGGGACATGCCCTGGCGGCTGTAGGTGGGGGAGTCGATGTAGCCAGGGCTGGAGGCTCGCCTCTGCCGCGTGTCAAAGCTCTCATAGATGTCCTGGGGATGGGGAAGGTGTGGAGAGAGTGGTGTTAGAGCTGGCAGGAGGTGTCCCACGGATAGGGATCCCTGTGCCTGGGGCAGCCCGGGAGGGTGCTCTGCAGTGTGACACTATAGGCAGTGCATGTCCTGGCTAGAGGGGGTCCCCACCCTGCTCTGCCTCCCCTGCTGCCAAAGCACAGGCAGCAAAGCCCAGAGTTTGAGTCCAGGTGACATGTCCAGCCAGAGGCTCTTTCCCTGGAGATTGTCTCCTTGCCCTGTGCTTGGTTCTGCACCCTGGGTCCATTCTGCCAGGGAGGGATTGCACCCTGTTCTCCTCAGGGCCTGAAGGACAGGACTCTCCTGGGGTCCCACCCTGGGGCAGTCAACAGCTGTGGGGGGGATGATCAGCAAAGCCCCAGCTGTCCTGGGCAGAGGGACATCCTGCAGCAGCAGTAGGTGACAGACCTCCCAGTGCCTGCAGGGGCATTACCTGCGAGTATGGGGAGAGGGTCCCCAGGGACTGGAGGCAGCAGGAGGCAAAGTGGGAAGGAAAAGAGAGAGAGAGACAGCACATGGTTAAGAGGAGCAGTGACAGACCAGGATTCCATAGCAGCTCATTTTCTCCAAGTTACAGCTGCCAGGCATTTAGGGTGGCTGGTGGTACAGGACACTGGGCAGGAAGCCCCCGGCCAAGAGGGGAACTAGCATGAGGAACCAGCAGAACCCTTCTCAGAAACCTCAGTGGAGCAGCTGCGAGGGGGGAAGGCAGCTGTTGGCTCCTGGGTGCTCCACAGTGGGCCATGGCCATGCTGCCTGCACCAAGCCTGGGGGGCTGGAGGAAGCCAGGCTTTGGGCAAAACCTTGGGGCTGCTGCTGTAAGAGATGCTCCTCCTGCTGGCCATCATCAAGTCCCCTTCCAAGACTACCTCAGGTGCCCCATCTCTGTGTGAGTTGCTCAGACCTTCTCTTCCGTGGACTTACTGAACTCATCCAGCAGTCCCAGCCTGCCTAGGCAGGCAGGACAGTCCCATACCACATGCTGCTGGGGCATCATCTCACCACAGTCTTATGGAAATGCACTGACCAAGCCCCTGCTCCTGCCTGCAGGGCTGGCACCAAACAGGGCAGCCCTGCTGTGCTCCAGGGGTGCTGTGCTGGGCTGGGTGGCCAGGAGGATTGTGTGCCAGGGGCCAGGCTCTGGGCTGAGCCTGGGGATCGTCTGTCCCTCCACCCTGGAGGGATGCACATGTGTTGCTGTGTGACCTCCTCCTCCCCCGCTGTGGGCTGTGATGGGCTCCTCCCCTGCCACATCACTCCTCCCACGCAGTGCTATCCCTGCAGTTGGGTCTGTGACTGGTAAGGTCACTGGTGACTGGTAAGGTCACTGGTTTCTTTCTTACTCTACAGCAGCAGCACCAACACTTTATTTTCAGCCCAGGCCCTCTTCCTGGTGGCGATGAGCCTCCGGGAGAGATCCTATCCCCTGCAGTATTCCCACTGGAGTGAGTGAACCCACACACAGTTCTCCCCCAAACTGGGGCCTGGTCCCTGTGCATCCCAGCACTGGGCATATCAACACTCAGTACCTCCCCATAGCTATATCTCTCCAGTGTCTCATCCGACGTGTATCTGTGATAGGGCTCGTAGGAAATGAGGTCAGGACGCTGCACTTCATAGATGGCTTTAATCTTGGGAAGAGCTGCCAGGTCTTTGTAATTAAGGATCTCATTATCCACTTTAGCCTAGGGAGAGGGAGAGACAGAGACAGAGAGACAGAAAGGAAGAGGAGGAGAGAAGGAAGGGAAGGCTGGAACGCACAGTGTGGAGCAGGCAGAGCCCACCATCACCCCAGCAGCAGAAGAGGTAAGAGGAGATGCCTGAGAGGCAGCAGTGCGTAGGGGCATAGGAGCTGGGAGGGTAGGACTGTGCCCCTCTGAGTGCTCCTGATCCGTGCCAATTGCACTGGTGGCACAGCACGGCACTGGGGCAAGGGGACACGGCTTGTCAATGCTGTCCCCAAATGCTGGGCTTGTCCCTGGGGGACACCTCACACTGAAGAGCAGCTCTGGAAATTGCTGATCCCCTCCTTGGGGCCCTGGATGAGGGGCAGAGCTGTACTTACACAGATGACACGGTTTGGGGAGCCAATGCTGGAACCAGGAGGGGAGATGGAGGTTTCCGACGTCCTTCTGTGCTGTGGAGGCAGAAAGGTGGAAGGCAGGTGAGAGCATGGCAAGGAGGGACCCCTGAGCAGGCACATGCTGGGTACAGAAGCCAAATAGTTGGTTTGGGGGCACCACCAGGTGTCCATTAATAGCCACCCACCATCCTCTGGGCAGCCTCGGGAAGCCACTCCAAGCTTAGACCCTGCCACAACAGTTCCCCTCCTGCAGAGGGACCTGGGGGCATCCCCTGGGATGTGCCACCTCTTAAGATGCCCCTCACCCTGCTGCCTACCTTCAGCTTCTTCTCTGCTCTGGCCGCCTGCTTGCAGATCGGGTGCCACACTTCAGAGCCTGCAATGCAGCAAAGGGAAAGTGTTTCAGCTCCACACACAGCTCACCCCCACTGCCAGGGATCATCCAGGTTCCCCTGCCATGGGAGAATCCCATCCTGTCCCTGCCATCTCCAGCAGTGCCATAGGAACGTGCCTGGTGGGAAGACTCAAGACATTGGGGACTGTTTGTCTGTACTAAGGAATGAAACAGCTCCCAAGCACTGAGGAACAGTGGTCAAACCTACTAAACTGTGACAGGCAAGCAGGGGTTACTGAGAGAAAAGAAACCCTCCCTCTGTGCTGGAAACAGCCCCTAAAACAGCTCTAAGGGCATAAGCTTCTGCCAAAACCAAACCCAAACCATCCATCTGTGCTGAGTGAAAGCCTTACCCCTCCAGTGCTGCTTGCCAGCTAACCTAGACTGGGGGAGCTGGGGATGGACCACCCTCCCCTGGGGCTGGGGAGAGCAGGGAGACAAGCACCCTGCACCCACCCCAGGCTCTGTTCACTGGGAGAAGGCCAGGGACACATCCAGGCATGCCCAGCAGTGCTCCCCAGCTGTGCAGGGAGACTCGCAGGGAACAAAAAGCTTCTGATGAGGAACAGTCTCCTCCAGCTCAGTGGCAGGGAAGGTTTCAAGGAGAGAAATGATTGCCACCCTAACCAGGAAGAGTGCAGGTGCTGGGGAGCAGTGGAGGGGGGTATTGCTGCACAAAGAGGCCCTTTCAGTGCCATAGTGACCCAAACCCCAAAGTCCCCCCAGCCAGGACACCCACACACAGCCATTCTGGTCCACACCCCAACACAGGGCCAGGGGACCCTCCTCACCCCTACCTGTGAGGTACATCTCCTCTCCTTCTGTGAACATCTGGTGGCAGCGGACACATCTGGCACAGGTGGGGTGGTAGTGCTTCCCTCCTGCCTGCAGGGGTGAGCAGAGAACAGGGACCCCTGAGCAAGGCAGGACATGGTGACCTGCTCATGTCCCTGAGGGCGAGTGACCCTGACAGCCTTCGCTGCTGCAGACAATGACAAGGTGGATGGGACAAAACTGCCCTCAGTGGCCTCGGAGACCTTCGCATCACATGGAGAAAACCAGAGACCTCTTCATCACGAGTGTGTTTCTGACCTGCTGGACTAGGAGTCAGACCGTGAATTTTCTGATCTCCTTGAGATTTCCAACACACAGGAAAGCAGAACCAGGAGATCCCAAACCCCCAGAGAAGGTACCCTACAAACCCTAATCAATCATCCCTGCACTCTGCAAATAGCCAAGGCCCTCTGCAGCAGCACTCAGCTAAGCAGCCATGCTTTGCACCAGCTCCTCCTCTACAGCTTTGAAAAAAAACCAGCAAATTTGGCCCAGGATGTCACAACAGGGAAGCAGTAAAGGGAGAAGAAGGACCCCAAAGATAAACCTCGCAAAGCAAAGGTTTCTTCTTGCTGCCAGACCATCCCTGGCTACCACTGCCAGCTCCTCCCGAAAGACACTTTTCTCCTTCGGTGGAGCGATGCCCAAACTTCAGTGCTAGTGACATGCTCTTCCCCAGCTGAGAGGAAGCTAGGCTGCTCCTTTTGCTCTTTGACAGGGATAACAGCTTAAATTGGGAGCTTGCTCCCCCTCAAAGTGTCTCCTAGCATTTCAATTATAGGCTCGCTTTCTGGGCTCCCAGCCCAGAAAAGAACTTTTTACTCCCATAATAATCCAAGAGAAGAAGAAGAAGAATTGAAGGTGGCAGAGGGAAGATGAGGCTCTCACAGACAAAGAAGGGGGGTTATGATAGAGGGGGCTGGAGCCAGTTTGAAACAGAGAGAATCAACAGGGAAATCTGCTGTGAGGATAACTGAGAACCTGCTAATGGGTTGCCCATAGAAATCAGCCTGGAATTCAGTGTCCTTGGGGTGAAAATGGCAGCCAGTGGCCTTCCCCCTCCAGTTTATAACAAAAATGAGTGGAAGGTTTCAGTGCAGGCAGGGGAAATGAGTTTGGACTCCTCTTCCTTTCCTCCTTCCCCCATCCCTCTCTGAATCTCAACAGCTTGCTGTGCTGACAGTAAGGAAAAAAACCCCCATATATATCCACCTTTTCCTATCTGCTGTCACAGGTCAGATTGTGCTAAAAGGGGATGCTTTGCAGATCAGGATGTGGGTGTTCAAGGCCAGGTTGGATGGGTCTACTGGAAGGTGTCCCTGCCCATGGCAGAGTGTTGGAATGAGATGAGCTTTAAAGTCTTTTCCAACATAAACCATTCTATGATTCTAAGATGCCATGTGGAGGGAGACTGGCTGCTCCCCTGTGGTGTGTACCAGCCCAGTCCCAAATTGCTTTTCATCATAAATCTCTCCAAAAGCCACCCAACATCTCAACACCCGCACTCCTCCTGAGCAGCAACCCTCCAAACCATGCACAAACCTTGTTCCTTTTGCATTGTTTAATGCTACAGCTTGTACAAGGCTGGTAGAGGCTGCAAGGGATAACTGCTTGTTATCGCTTGGGTCCCTTAAAGACTCATTAATCATCCAAGCCTGGCTGCACAGCTTGGAGCAGTTGGGAATGCCTGAAGGCTGCTGGGATAGCATGAGGAGCCTCCTTAATGCCTAAAATTATTTAAAGGCACCCTTTCCATTTCACACTCTGACAGAAAAGACAATTAAAGCCTCTGGATTTATAGATGACTCAATACTGTGAGCAAGCACATACTAGGGAGGGTAGGGAGAGTGGGCTGCAAGGCCCCTGAACCTGGAACAGATGCCTCAACCCTGGAAGAGTTCAAGGTCAGGTTGGACAGGGGTTGGAGCAACCAGGCCTAGTGGAAGGTGCCCCTGCCCACGGCAGGGGGTTGGAACGAGATGATCTTTAAGGCCCCTTCCAACCCAAACCATTCTATGATTCTATGACAGGGGTCTCAGGTCCCCTCTGACTCCTCTCACTACCCTCACACACTGAACATCCCGTACCACGTAACACCCTCCCTGCTCACACTTCTGGGTGGCTGAGGGTGCTCTATCCCGGCACGGGGCTATCAGGGACCAGACTTCCCAGGGGAGCAGCAGCAGGGATTTGATGTCTGGGGAACCTCTGGCTTTGCCCTGCTCCATTCAGACACTTGCTGATGAAGTGACCCCGTGATGGGCAGCTGGCCCCTGGCAGCTGCTGCAGTGCTGAGCTCATGCTCCCAGCAGCCAGTGCTGGGACTGCTGCTGAAGCCTGGAGTCAGCAGAAAGCCTTCCCAGGTAGAGGCAGCCCCCCAGAGAGGGGGAAGATGCTGAAAGGTTCCTGGCAACTGGCTCCAGCTTCAGAGAGGTTCCTTGGAAGGCTGGGTGTTCCCAGGCCAGCCCAGCCGGCAGGACCAGAGAGGGTGATGGTTTCTTGGTAGACTGTGAGTGAAACAGGCTGGAGATGTCCTGGAACAACCCTCAGCAGGTTGGAGACCAACACAGTCAGTCACCCAGCCCACAGCACCTGTGGCCTTATTGTGGAGTCACGGTACCTCTGATTTTGGGATACAGCTTCCTACTGCTGCAATCTGGGGATGACAGAGATATGGGAGCCCTTCCCTCCCGCTCAGCTTTGCAGAAGGGGAGGTTGCAGGAGTGACTGAGAATGCTTTCAGCACTGCTGCCTCTGTGTCACCACAGCCCAGCTCCATAGTGTTATCCTTCTGACATCTTTCTCTGTGCCTCCTGAGCCTTTGGGTTACCCTCAGACTGGATTTCTTTTCCCCCTGCACACATTGCGGTATAAACAGAAAGCATGACAGGACATGCCACTTCCAGGAGCAGGAGCCACAGGCAGAAGGTGACCACCTGGCTGCCAGAAAGGACCAGCCCTGATGGACCTCTCTGTCCCTCCCCAACAGCAACCCTTACTCCCCTCACCGGCTGTGCAGCCCCATCATCACCCAAAACACACTCCACAGCTGCCTTGCTGTGGGATCCCTGTGGAATCCCTGCATCTCTCCGTGGCTCTGCCACAGCAGCTCCTACTGTCCAGCAATGCAATGAGCAAAGCCCCCTCTGATTTGGACCACTGAAGGAGACCCCCTGCTCCAATTGCTGCCCTGCAAAGGAGTGTGCCATGGGGACTGCTGCCCATTGGTAGGGTGCTGCAGCCCCTCACCCAGGCTCTGCAGCGGGCAGCCGTGCTGGATATGTTTCCAAGGCAACAGGCAGGCTGCCAGCACATGGATGGGTTCAGAAGGCAGGCTGGGGTGAGTGTGCTGGGGACATCCAGAGCCAGGCATGGCAGCAGCTGTTTAAGGCTAATGTCCCCACATCTTGGACTCCAGACACATCTCATCACATCCAGGCCACTCTGGCTGTTTCCAGAGCTCAGGCATCCAAGCCACCTCTCTTAAGCTCTGGTGCTCCTTCCCCACTCCCACTCTCCAGAGAAGGTGTGTCCACACACCTGCTGCAGGAAGAGCCATGGCCCCCAGAGATGGAGGGTAGCATGACAGGGGGGCAGGATTAGGCAACTCCCACACCTCCCCAAGGCATGTCCCTATTACAGACCGGGATGGGGTGGCTGTGGCCCCAGAACTCACCTCCAGGACCCGGCCACTGATGTACCGGTCACAGGTCTCGCACTTGATGCCGAACTGGGCATGGTAGTCAGACTCACAGTATGGGATGCCATCCCTGTGGGAGAGGGAGGAGAAGGGTTAGCAGTGGGTGAGTGGACAGTCCCTTGCTGCAGCCCCAGCCCCTCAGGGCAGAGCCTGGCAGTGCTGCCAGGAAGGTGGCACTCACTTGCTGATGTACTCGCCAGTGAGGATGATCCCACACGTTTGGCACTTGAAGCAGCTGACGTGCCACTGCTTCTCCAGGGCCAGGAGGGACTGGCCTTGCTTGATCTCCTCCTTACAGCCAGCACAGTCTGGGGGCACAGAAGAGGGGGGGAGTGTGGGACACAGCAGGAACACCCAAATCTGCTGGCCCGCACCCCAGTCATCCAACCTGGCACACCCCTCACACCCAGAGGAAAACCCTGCCCCAGAGGACTTCACTAAGGATGATGCTGTTATAAACACCCATCTCCTGGGACCACTCCAGGGGTAGCCTCTTGGGGATCATTTCTTTATGGAAATACACCACCTGTGCTTGTTCCCAGCATACGAACCAGGAGGAAGGCTGGAGCTGGCACCTCTGCAGTACAGCTGGCACCCAGCCACGCACCCGCCACAGCACAGAGCTGGGTCTCCCTGCTGGGTGACAAGTTTGAGCCAGGGCCAGGGGCTATGCTGTCCTGGCAGGTCCCCAGGGCTGCCTCGAGGCAGGAGCAGTGGGAAGTGTCCGGCAACGAGCGCAGCAGAGGAAGGGCTGTGCTCTCCGGCAGCCACGTCCGGCCCCGCTGCAGTATTTACCAGACTCCCTTCCTTCCCTGCTTCCCCTGGCTCCCATCAAGGCTGGGAGCAGGAAGCACATGGGCCTCGGAGCCTGACCTTGACTCTTCCTTGTCCTCTTCTCCCCCTGGGCAGCAGGTCTGCCCGGATGGGATTTCTCCTTAACCCCCTCCCTGCCATGGCACTGCACAGTGGGAGCAGACAGGCTGTTCCACTCAGCCCATCCCAAGCTACTCTGGGCCAAGTCCCCACCCACTGGACAAAGCTAAGGGGGGAGGACTTGTGACCCCTAGAAAAAAGCAAGCTGAGCCAAGATCCATTTCCTCTCTCTGGTTTGGAGTTGCTCACAGGATTGGAGCTGCAGAGAGAGGCTCAACATCCTCCTCCTAGGGATGCCATCCCTGCAGAGTGCACCAGCATGGGCTCCAGCCCACACACCTCCCCTGCCACCCTTCTGGGTGGCACTACCAGGGCGACTGGGGCTGTGAGTGACACATGCAGTAGGCAGGCTACATCTGCCTGCAGCTGTCCATGAATAAAGCATGGTGCCCTCAGGTAACCCCGGCAGGGAGGAGCACTGGTGGGAAGGGGGTGGGATGGGAAGGGAGAGGAAGGCGAGAGGCAGAGCGTGTGGCTGCCCTTCCCCTGGCACTGCTACAGGAGACAGTGGCTGTTGTGGGTCAGGCACAGCCTGGCTCTGGGCAGCTCAGGGTGCGATGGAGGAAGGTCCTCTGGCTGAGGCTCATTTGAACCCTACCACATCTCTTAATTCCATCAAGGCCATGGTGAGAACTAGGGGGAGGCAGCTTGACGGGGGGGCTCCCAGGGGCACCAACTTGTAAGTCAACCCACACAGCCACCAGCAGTGCTGCCATGGTGACAGAGTGACCACAGTCCTGGTTCTGGCCCTGGCTGCAGGACTCAGCAGCAGCAATGGACAAGCTCTTTTGGGTGGATTTGGCCTTGCTTTTGACCTCAGGTTGGGATTACCTTCCCTTCATGCCATGCTTGGCAAGCCCTGGAGATCAGTGCCTGAAGCAGAGTTTTAGCAGGGGTTCATCACGGCAAGGGGATGAGTGTCAAAAGCCTTTCAGTACTTGTAGAGGCAGCAAGGAATGCCAGCGCTAGGACAGCCGGGTGAGTAGTCCCAGGGTCTGCACTTGGACACAGACCTTGGTGCAGCTGAGCACAAAGCAACTGACTCAGAGCAAACTCAGCTCCAAAACCTCTCCATGACCTCAGACAGCGCCCGCCAGGGTGGCGGCACCTGCCCAGGTCACAAACAGGCCAAGGGAGTTTCCGAAACCAGCAGTGACCTGCAATCCTGGGTGGAGCCACAGGACTACCCTGTTCCTCCTCCTCCGAAACCTCTGTGAACACCCGTGGCCCCTAAGCCTGTTTTGTCACCCTCCCCAAGCACAGTCCACAGACATGAGGTCCCGCTCCTTGTAGCCATCACGTAACAGGAGAGCAGTCAACTTACGGCTCGGCCCGTGGATCTTGATGGGTTTGGTGCTGATGAGAGAGTGGGAGCAGTTTTGGCAGACGCAGTCCTTCCCGCTGAATGTGACCTTGTCTCCGATGGGGAAGGGCTTCCTGTGGCCAAGGAGAGGGGGGGAGGTGTGAGCTGCTCATTCCCCTGCATGCAGTGCTTGGGGCTGCCCGGGAGTTCCCACCCCAGGGGCCAGCGGGACCCTCGGTGCCAGGGAGCAGAGGGGCTCCAGGCAAGGGCTACGAGAGGAGGCAGCGAGGGTGCACATGTGCTGGGGTGGGAGGACCAAGGGAGGTCTCCAGGCTGCAAAGGGAACGGCTGGAACCATTTCATTGCCTCCCAAGGGTTTCCACTTAGAGAACACAGAGGAAGTGCCTGCTGTGAGGCTGAACGGGGCACAAGGGGCTGCAGGCTAATGAAGACCCCTCTGTCTGGTGCACAGCCAAGAGCTGCTCAAGGCTTCTCCAGGGGATCATGAACGTTTGGGGATGATTTCCACTCACCTGCAGGTGCTGCAGACAAAGCACTTGGGGTGGTAGGTCCTCCCCAGGGCGGAGATGACCTCTCCAGTGATGAAGTCCCCACAGCTGTCGCAGCGGGTCCCGTAGAGCTGCTGGTAGTCGTGGGTGCAGATGTACTCCTGGTTCTTAAAGAAGAAGCCCGACTGTGCCAGGTCGCAGCCGCACACTGGAGGGGAGGACACGAACCCGTCAGGGGGACAGTGGGCAGGTCCAGCCCAGGATCCCTGAGCCCACTTCTGCTGCCTCTCCAGCAGCAGTCCCAGGGCATCCCTGGGGACACAGCTTCCTGCAGGTATCTCAGAGGGTTTCCCTTCCCACCAGAGGGCTGGGGCCTTCTCCCAGCACCACAAGATGTCAGTGTTGGGCTGTGGCGGGGTGCAGGATGGTACTGCCTGGACAGCAGGGCTGGGCGTTCCCAGAGGAAATCCCAGGGCTGGGAGGGAACCTCTGCAGCCCCCCCTACACCACGAACAAACAGCTTGGCAGGGCCAGTGGCATCCCCTCCTGGACCCACTGCACCTGGCTGAGGCTCAGCCCCTCCTTTTGACATTCTCATTGTGTCAGGAAGCTGAGAACAGGACTAGCAAAGAGTTGGGAATGCCCTAGGGACAACTAGGGAGAGGTCTTCTCCATGCGCTGGGGCATGGCTGCCTCTGTGATGAGCCATCCCCATTCCCTGGCCTGGACATGAAGCAGTGCCCTAATGGGTACAGGTCCTGGGACACACTGGGGTTGGAGATCTCAGTGCTTGTTTTTCCATAGGTGTCCAGCCCAACCTCGCTTCCTTCCCTGCTGTGGGAACCGTGGGTGGTGCACAGCCCATCACAGTAATTCAAGGAGACGTGGCCAGCCCGGCCTCAGCATCATTTCCCTCCCACGAGTTCTCCATCCAGAGAGACCTCGAGAGCATCAGACCCTGGAGGGCACATCTGGCCTGGCACAGGGACCAGGTCCTGAAGCCTTTGCACAATGCCCATCACCCGTCCTGCAGGGTGATGGGGTGGAGGGGGGACTACAGAGCGACTGAGCACCTGCTGGCACAGCCCACCTTGGTCTCTGTTTTACCCTTCAGGCCTGAGCACCTCTCTGTCCTGTCCTTGCACACCCTGCCTGCACCTGCAGGCCAGCCCACACAGCAGCCACCCTCCCCAGAGTGGCAGGGGACAGCTGGACCCACTGCTGCAGGGCCCATGGGGGCAGAGATGCAGCTCCTCTCCTTTGGAGCATCCCTTGGCCAAGCTGCTCCCTGGTGCTGTGAGTACCCACCTGAGGGGCATAGGGCCAGCACCCACTGCTCTCCAAAACAGCCTGTCAGCAACAAGGGACAGGTCACCAGCTCTGGGACAGCATTAGGAAGCAGCAGCAAGATAAAATGAAGCTGGTTTATGCCCTGTTTGCTTTGGGACCCACAGCACGTCCCAGGGCTGCACTCCCATGCCAGGCTCCAGCAGACATGGCAGGGACAGGCAGTTGTGGGAGCTGGCAGCAGCCAGCCAGAGGTGGCAGGAGGTGAGGGAAGGTGAGACAGGAGGATTTCCTCTCATTATATATTCCCTTTCACTTGGAAATCGGGCAGCGAGCACTGCCAGGCTCTCCCTGCTGGCTCCTGGGTCCTTTGAAGCTGGCAGCTGTCTGAGCTCTTTGTCTGGATGCTCAGCTCCTGCTGGATCCTCCATGTCTGAGCTGGGTAAGGGCAGGATACTCAGCACAGTGCCATGCAGGTGTAGGTCAGCCCCGAGGGCAGCCTGGGACCCACATCTCTCCCAGAGATCCAGGGCTGCCCATGCCACAGGGGACAGGGCTGCAGCAGGAGTGGGGACCATCCAGGGAAGTGTCCCCTGCAGCCAAACCAGCTGTTCTCTGGGAAAGAGCAGCAAAGTATGGCCATGGGGATGGGGATTTATATCCTGCTTAGTACAAAGTGTTGGGAGCATGGAAGACCAGAGACCTTTAAAAAGGCCTGAAATGGGATGTTTTACAGCCTACAGAAGCAGTCATTGGCCTGGCTGAGAGCAGCTGCTCTAATAAAGGTGCTGAGGAGCCCTTCACAACAGCTCTGCACCATTAGCTTTACAGCTCTGCAGCTCTCCTCTGGCGCTCAGGGAGGATTCAAACAACCTCCCTCCTCCCTTTCTGGCAGCCCTGAGGGCCACTGAGTCCCAGCTGCATCCCATGACATCCCACAACACCTCAGTCACGTCTCCTGGGCGGGTGGCAGTGATCTGTCACCCAGCTCCAACCCCACCAGGAGCCACTCCAAGTATCACCTCACTGCCTCTCAGCCAGGCTGGCAATACCTCCCTCCTCCTCCTCCTGATCTGGGGGCAGGCAGCTGAAGGAGGTGGTGGCCCAGCCACATCACAGATGGGCCATGGGCACATTTGTACCCGCACACTGCTGGCATTGAGGCTGCTCAGGTTTTGGCCATCCCTTCATGGGCTCTGGCATCAGGCAGGGGCACCGTGCCGTTACCTCCCACCTGTGCCATGCCACTTACACCCTGCAGGAAGCTGCCACCCCAGCATGTGACCACATCTCAGAGGGCCAGGTTAGTCAGTCCCCAGAATTTTGCTTTCCAAACTGCATCCAGGGTTGTGGAGCAGCCTGGCCACCTACCTTGGCAGGTGAAGCAGCGGATGTGGAAGTGATTGCTCTGGACACGCACCACCTCGCCCTTGCATGTGTCCCCACAGCGGTAGCACTGGATCACGGAGGAGCTGCTCCCAGGGGTGTAGGGGTTTTGCTGATAGGGAACTGCTGGCAGAAAAGAGGGAGGGGAAAACAAGAGAGGGAAGGGGTCTGTTAGCATTTGGGACACAGCTGGGTGTCACTGCACTGACCTCTGCTGGGCAGCTGCCAAAGAGCCCTCTGGTGACAGCGACACGGCTGCCGGACATCAGGACATCACTAAAGGCAAAGGACAGCACCCAGCGACTCTGAGCTGGGTGCCCATCCCTGTCTGGATTTGGGATTTCCCTGCCCCACAAAAGAGCCATGTCCCATGTTGGCTCACTGGTCTGCAGTGCAAGTGCCCAAGCACTGCTCCCTGTCCCTGCATGGACAGCCAGGTCACCTGCAGCATTGCCCCAAAGCCAAGCATGCCTCCCTGGATGCTCTCCTGTCTCCTAAGCAGGTGCAGAAGGACAACACAGGGACCAGCTACCCACTGCTCTGCTCAGCCCTCAGGCAGCCCTGGCTTGCTGCTGACCCGTTCAGAAACAGCCCAGCGAGCACCGATTTGGCAGCAGCAGGGGAAGGAACTGCTGTTTTTTTGGAGCTTCCATTTGTTTGGTTAGGAACTGGAAGAAGAAGTAATTTTTCAAGGAGCTTTCAAACATCACGGCAATTGAGTGTTTGGCCCTGGTGGGACTCTCACCTCCTCAGCAAGGAGCAGCATCCCAGCCCCGCTGCTCCTTCCGGAGCAGCACCGTGGCACGTGCAGGCTCTGTGCTGAGCTGGGGGCCACAGGGGAGGGGAGGGTGGCGTGGCTCCCACAGAACTGTGGGCAAGAGCCATCTTTCTCCTGCTTCAGAGAGTCCAGAGACTCACCTCCACTCCTCATCCCCCTCCAGCAGCTCTGCAGAACACCATGAAGGTGATGCTCAGCAGCCTCACCCCATGACCCAGCGTAGGATCCATATGGAGCAGGGGATCTTTCTGCTGCCTCAACAAAACCCCCAAACACACACAGAAAACATTGTACTGAGCAGTTCCTGCTTTCCCTGCCTCACCTGCAAGTGCCTGGGCTGTGCAGGAGGTCTGGGCAGGCTGACACCATGCCAGCCCCTGCAGGCAGGGGCCAAGCAGCACAGGACTTATTTGCTGTAAGATTTCCGAGAGGGAGTCACGACTTGGGCAACTTGAGCAGCAAAAGGCAGCATTTCAATGGGCCAGAGATTTTCTGACCCAGTGCTGAACTGCATTCCCAGGAACAAGAGAAGCAGCTGATTGAAAGCCAGTCTGTGAAGTCCCTCCAGAACTGGGAATAAGGGGCGCAGGACAGAGAAGATCACTCATCAGAGGCTCCTCAGTCACTGAGGGGCAGATCAAGTGACAGGGAACAGAAGCAGCCCATTATTAGCTTCAAAAGCAAAGAATGAGAAGTCAAAATGACATTGAGACTGTCTCACAGTAAAATCCCATTCTGTATGCCAACTGCCCAGAAATACACTCTGCAGACATGCACCACTGCTTCCCTCTGGGAAATGGGCTGACCCTCCCTGACCACTGCTCCATCCCCAGGTCTGTGGAGCTGCTGGGGAGAGGCTGCCTCACCAAGCTCAACCTGAGGGCTGCAAGGGAAGCTGAGGTACATTCCTGTGAGTGCCCTGCTGCAAAGTTCAAGCTCCAGCCTTCCAAAAGCTGCTGGGACTTCCCTCCTGATCGTGCTTTTGCAGGCAAAGAGCTCTCAGAGACCAATACAGGCACTAAGGATACCAAGTGCCAACAGAGAAGCGACGAAATGGGAGTCAGGCCTGGAGCTCAGACCAGTAGAGACACTAACTAGTCTAAACCTAATCACTTTAAGCTCCCAAACACAATGAAGGGAGCAGGGTACCTCTACCCACGCTTTCGCAAGCATGTTTTGCCAAGAGGCACAAGCCCTGGGAACAGGAATCCAGGACCTCCTGTGGCAGCTGCTGGTGGTGGTGTGTGTCCATGAGCTCTGCAGTAGCCTGGGGAGACCAACAGGATCTCCCGAGGCTGGAATAAATGGGGGATCTTTTCTGTGAGGGTCTCCAGCAGAGTAAGAGTTACAGCACTGAAACTTCCTCCCACGCACCCAGTGCTCACGCCCTGGCCCAGAATGAAGAAGAAGCCAAGCCCTGGACACAGCCACGGAAATCCACAAAGCTCAGTGAGAAAAGCATGACAGAGGTGGGAGGAAAAGCTGGGAATTAATCAACATTTAAACAAACATTGATAATAAAAAAAGGGGAACAAAAAAAAAATAATAACCTATGTCAGAAAATGCAGGCATCACTTATTCCGGGCTTCTGGTCTCTAGGGAAAAACTTCCTGGTGTCCATAGCAACACATTGCCAAGCCCCTGCATCGGCAGGTCTGATGGGAGGAAGGCAGAGGAAAAGGAGCCAAGGATGGAAGAGATGGTTATAGCTGTGTTACACCACAGAAGGAGATGGAACTGATATGGTCGCTCCCGCCTGTGCCCATGGGGGCGGGGAAGGACCCAGCTTAGGGAACCATCTCCCTCCCGCCCGCTGGCTTTGTTCAGCACTACACCCAAAGCTCCCCGATTTGTGATTAACCTCCAGCCCATGCTGGAATTTTGTCCGGGAACATTAACGCATTGTGTTGTTGGGGCTCTGCTTGTTTTCCAGCCGGCAGCTGCCCGCCTCGTGGCCTCGCGCAGGAAGTATTACACATCACTACAGCCCTGAGCAGAGGGACAGCTGAGCGGGGCAAAGCTCATTACATCCAAATAATCCAGTAATAATGTAAGTAGCATTAGTGGCCTTGCAGGCCGAGATGCAGTGGCCAGGGCAAGGGGGTGGGAGCTGCCCAAGGAATGCCTTAATCTCACCCCGGTTTGCTCCTGCTTTTGCTTGTGGAGCGGCTGCTGGGCGAGCTGGCTCCGTCCAACAGTTAATGCATTTGTGCTCCACACTCATACAGAAAGGCTGCCCAGGGCCAGGCTCCCGCAGGGCTGTGCCCATGTCCCAGCTGGCTCTTGATCTGCAGAGCCCCAGGAATGGCAGTGAGCTGCCACGGGGCTGCGTGGGCACTCGACAGATTTCCCACTGATCCGGATTAAGGTGGCACCTCCGGTCAGGGATTGGTGCCCCGTGCAGCCTCAGGGTCAGGCAGTGGCAGCGGCACACAAGTGAGGGAGTGGGTGACCTGGGCAGGGGAGAGACCCCCAGACAACACGCATGGCTGCCCAGAGGAGCTCTGTCACCCAGGAGAGCAGAGGGACCCTGCCCAAGGGATCCTCCAAGCCACTCTGCAGTGAGCAAACTGCAAGTTCCTGCTGTGCATCCCTGGGCAATCCCCCTCCTTCACTTCAGAAGGGTCAACAACCTTGTTTGTCTTCCTGTCCTCTTCCTGCACCGAGTCCCAGCCCTCCACTAAGGAGCAGTGGGATGGGGAAATGCTGAACCCTTATGCTGCCTCTGGAACGCTCTGAACCATTCAGGGTTGACAGAGGATAATTCCCATCTATCTTGGAGGGTTTGCAGCTCAACACCAATGCAAATAACAAGGTGGCTCAAACCAAGCTCCATCAGCAGTTTGGCCCCCCTCCCTCCTACCCAGGCAGCCCCATGTCCCACAGCCACAGCAAACTAGTAGCAATCCAGGAGCAGAAGCTGCACAGAGACAGCCAGAGGCAAAAAAGATCCATCCATCCTACCTTGCTGAGACCAAACCAGGTGCTGCTGGTTTCCCACCTATCTCCCCCTCCCAGCCCATTAGCCCTCCAGGAAGGTCTATCAGGTAGAAGCTCCTGCAGGTGGGGTTTGGATCATTAGCAACAGGAACTGGAAGCTCCCACCCAGCTCTGCCTGCCCTGACACTGTGTTTGCTGTCAGCCTGTTTATGAGACAGCATCTCCACAGGGGAATGGGGATGCCTGACTTAATTAATTATCAGTAATTAATATCTGCACAATGCTGGGAGAGCCACAGGTGAAGGGGACTGTGGAAAAGCAAAGCATTCATCCTGAAATTAATAAGGAGAGGCAGTGCCACTGTGGGAAACTGAGGGGAACTGTGGGTGCCAGGGGGCGATGCTGGGGCTGAGTGTTGGCACATGCAGCGAGGGGTGAACGAGTGGGTGCTGGCTGTGTGCAGGGAAGATGTGGGTGTCAGCATGGGGTCCAGCTCCAGAAATGCTGGATGTGAGACCTGAGTTGGGATGGATGCTGGGAGGGGAGGGGGAGCAGCAGCAGCAGTGCTGCTAGGCAGATGATGTTGGCAGGAGTCCTCACACCTCCACGGGGCTGAGCTCCCTTCCAGAAGCCACTGCCTCCCACTCGTCCCTGCTGCCTCCCACTCCTCCCAGCTGCCTTGCAGTGAGCGATTCCCCACAGTCATCCTCTGCACGCTCCCTGCCCAAACTGGGGCTGTAAATCATCCTCTCACAGAAACCCACTGGGGGTGGTGGGACCACCGTGGCACAGGCTGCGTGTGGGATGCGGCTGCCCCGGGGAGGGTGAGGGAAGCTGGGCACCCCTACTGGGTGCCTGAACCCTGGGGTGGGCACAGCTGGCAGGCCCTGTGCCCTCGTGCCCCCAGGAAAGGGCCAGTGCCATGGCACTGGGTGAAGGCGAGGAGGGGGTCGGGAATGTGGCGGGGCTGGGGCGAGGAGGGAAGAGGAAGCCCAGCCCTGCCAGCACACCAGTCCCACAGGCGTCAAGGCTGAGGGGCGGCAATGACTGGTCAGAATGGAATTTTGCTGGAAGCACTGGAGGCTGAGGGAGAGGCTGGGGTGAAGCACTGGTGATGGGACACAGTGTGCTGGGCTGGGGGCAGAGAGCGAGGGGGCTGTAAAAGAAACCTCCGCTGGGATATGAGAACTCTGGGAGCCTGCACCTCAAATCCTCTTGCTGCAGCAGGGATTGAGGGTGACCTGGCTGGCTCCAAGCCCCACGGGAGGTGAGGGCGAGGGGGAGGATTTCCCCTCCAGGCAGGAGCTATGCTTCGTCCCAGGGGTGGCCAGGGAGGAAGGGTGGGACCTCCAGCAGCCACGGGATATGGGTTTCTCATCAGCAGCGGGGCTGAGGGCTCCTGCCTGCT